ACCACGTTTCATTTGCAGACTATATATATATATATATTAATATTTGTGTCATTTTCTGTCCACAGCCTGTCGCTGCGTGTGCAATGCCAGTCATGAAGGGATGGAACATTTTGACCAACTCAGAGAAAACACGCAAAGCCAGGTTTGAGAATTTGCTACACTCAAATCTGAGTTTTTAATAAACCTTCCCATTTCTCATCACACCATCAAGCTGTTACAGCACACAGTCTTCTGCGAGCAGAGAAAGGAAGGTCCCATCTCCTCGTTTGTCCGTGCTTCAGTTTTCTTTTAAATCACTGTACAACTAATGGCAGCATTGGTTACTGGCTTTTGTGGTTGTACCATGACAATCTCCATACAGTGATGATTCTTTTGGGCCAATCAGTGAGCTCAACAACTGACCAGTCAGTGATCAACAGAAAGTTGTGTCACACTGTTCTTTCCGATAAAGTAAAACCTTCGCTCGACTTGGCCTTCTTTTACCCACCCGCATGGGTAAGTAAAAGCATCACTAAGGTTGCAGAACTCCTCTTAGGCCACGCATGAAAATTGTTCCCATTAACATGCGTACTGGTATCTAGATATAATTCCCCTTTTAAACAATCAATATCTGTTCACACAAATAAGCGACATGTATGCACTACATTGATGCGAGAAACGTTTAATTTTGGTGCAACTTACCCTTATGCTGATTGGCTGTTGGCTCCTGTGAGTCATCATTTCAAAGAGGAACATGATTGGCTGATGTGTGTTTGAAACTTGGACAGCATCTGAAAAGCAACTTTAACTTTTTTACACAAATTATTTATTTTTTAACCTCTTACTGGAGAACGGTGCAAAAATGAAGCACGTGCGTGAGAGGATTTGCATCTGCAGAACCAGATCGGTAAATGCACAGGATTGAATCCTCAGATGCATAAAAAACCCATTTGTACTTGAAACAATAGTTTTTACTTGAAAGTGACTGTGCGTAATTATTTTCTTAAAGGAAATGTATTTACTTTTGTAACACATTTATACATTATATTCTCTCCGTACAGTCGTATGACACATATACAAAAAGCAGAGATACTCTCAATACCTCTCCTGCACTCTCCTTCTCTGATGGAAACCGTTATCCGCTCCGATTTTGGAACAGTGCTTTTCTCCAAAACCAAACCCCATTCATCGACCCTATGAAATTTGAAAACTGCTCTTTCAAAAATGATCCTTACAGAAAAAACTGAGCCCAGAGCCACACGAGGTTCTTGTACAGCTGAAAATTATACTTTTGTGCAAATTTATGCAGATTAAACTTTCACTAAACCACTCAGTGACTCGATTCTGCTCAGCTGTTTCTCCTTTTCTTACCAGAACCCAGTGCCATCAGATCGTTCCGTGTTCTATAAGAAACGATAGCCTTGTTTCCCTCCAAAGATGCAAATTAGATGTAAAACTAAAATATCCATTGCATTGGTTTTATTCCGTAAATGCCTTCCATGGAAGTTTATGCACATTTTTTTATTATCTGAAAAAAAAGTTTTAACGAACTCAGTTTTTCTAATATGCTTTTTAAAAATGTATGTGCATCTTGCCAATTCCATCCAGCCATTATTTAATGCATTATTTTAAAATGCGCCTAAAAAAGGAGGATTGAAACGCAGCTAGTCATGAGCAATAGCCGCACACTAGTTTTGATTTTTAAACAGGAAGGTTAAACAGAAAATTAACAAACTTGTTGTTGAAAAAATGGTTCCAGTCTTCAGCAATGGCTCCTCCTACAGCAATGGTTTCAGTTCATGACTGGATTCTTTTGGTATAATTGGTGGATCACACAAACCTGACTACAATCCTAGAAAATCCCTGACTTTGTGCAAGTGTTCCCGTAAGATCTGATGCTGGTTTGAAAGCAAAAGCTAGAAACACAAAATACTGCTTTCCTTTACATTTTGTTCACTTTCTGCGTGTACAGAGAAAATCATCTTTTTCCATTTCTGAAAGCCTTCATTGTTCACAGCATTTCCACTCCTGGCTACAAGTCTCACTGCACGTGAAATGGCTTTATTTTTAGCTTTAAATGGCTTTGGAATTGATATTTTCCCAAACCACAGGCACTAGTCCACACACTTTACCGTTTTAAAGGAGTTGTTTATTGCTTTTGAATTTGATCAGAGAGGGAGTAATGGAGTTCCTGCTCGCCAACCACCCCCTGGACTGCCCCATCTGTGATCAGGGCGGAGAGTGTGATCTGCAGGTAACTCAATCACCCCATTAACTGAGCAGTGGAGGAGTGAAGCTCCATGATCTCTGACGGTGATGCTTGATGTGCAGGACCAGTCCATGGCATTTGGTACAGACCGAAGCCGTTTCACAGAAGGGAAGAGGGCAGTGGAGGACAAGAACATCGGTCCTCTCATCAAAACCATCATGACCCGCTGTATACAGTGCACCCGCTGTGTTCGGTGAGTAGGAAAAGAGCAGCAGCACCACAGAGTGTTTGTCAGAGAGCATCACAGTGGTTTAGCCCGTAAACACTTGCAGCTAGTGTTTTGTGATGCTAATGTTTAGATGGAGGTAGAGCTAGCAGCCTTTTCTGTGCTTTAAAAGATCTACGCTGATGAACTGGAAGTTTCCTCGGTCAGTAATGTAATGCTGGTACAAAACAGAAACCATATCAAGATGAATACTTTCTGCTTTTCACTGCTCATGGATTGTTTAATTAACATGTTTCGAGAGAACGTTATTAGGACGTGCTGCCCATCAGTTATCCTACTTCCCCTCATGCGTCTAATAACGAATCCCTCCCAACTTCCTCACCTTCTCCATACTATTGTTTAATAGTGTGAACAGACTTTTTTTTACTTATAACATTAAACCAAAAGTGGATCTTTAATTTTTACATTAAACCTTAAATGAAAAACTTCTCTCTCTATATATTTTTTTTATTCGCAGTATGAAATTAGGACAAACACAATTATATAATTTTTTTTTTATCCAGTCCACCAGTCCATCGCAGGGCAACACTCACACATTCACCCCCTAAGGGGAATTTAGATTAGTCAATTAACCTAATCGCATATTTTTGGGATTGTGGGGGAAACTGGAGTACCCGGAGGAAACCCACACAAGCACTGGGAGAACATGCAAACTCCTTCCAGGAAGGTCACCGACGAGCCTCGATCCGACAACCTTCTAACTGGAAGGCCACAGTGCAACCCACTGCCCATCGTGCCGCCCTTCATTAAATTATAAACAAATTAGCTAGTTAACTTTGTTGTGGACAATTAAAAAAACTGTAGCAATGAAAAAAGAATATGTTGGATGCACAAATTTTCTGTTATTCGCATTTGCTGAAAACCACGATCACTAAAGGTAATGCTCTACTATTATTAGCATTTAATATAAGCTAATCTGAAGTAGCACCATTTTAATGAATCTCTGTTGCTCTTTTGGTAATTGTCATGCTCGTGAGTTGCAAGCTATCAGAACCACCGCGACTGTCTCAAAGTTAGCAAACCGTTTGAACAAAAGCACATAAACAATGAAATTGTTTGCAGTCCGTAACACAAAATGTTATTTTTTACGTGTTTGTTGGATGACTGGTACATCCATGCCGTGAAAGTTTGGTCTTGCATTGCGTGCAGGTTACCTTTTCTTACAGACGCAACGTAGCAAAAACACAGCGTAGCCATTTCGCTTTCACTCTGGCAGCACTGGTTGTGCACATGTGTCCGGTGTTTTTCCTTTATATTTCAAATGTTGAGGGTCATAAATGGTCGTATATTTCTTTACTTAGAACATGAGAAGTGTCGTCCATCATGGGGTCTTGGTGGTTGAACTCTTGACAGTTCCGTTTGTTTACAAACGTCGTTATGAAGCAGCTTGAATACTGTTCTTACATTGTGACACTGAACGTTGCGCCGATTAAAAAACAAATTTGCTGCTTGCGATGTGAACCTGGCGTTTTTGGGTGGCTGTGTGTGTGTGTATTTGTGCATGTCGTGATGTGAGCAGCTCAACCAATCGATAACTGTATTCGTCGACAACCAATTATTGATTGGTTGTTGCAGCCTTATTTCGTGGTCCATCCAGGGTGATGTAGGCTTTTCTTATCGACGCGCTGGTATGAACCACATCTGCTCATCATTACATGTGAACACGTTTATTTGTATCTTCAGTTTTGCCAGCGAGGTTGCAGGTGTAGAGGATCTGGGAACCACAGGACGAGGTAATGAAATGCAGATTGGCACATACGTGGAGAAGATGTTCATGTCGGAATTATCTGGGAATGTAATCGACTTGTGTCCTGTGGGAGCTCTGACGTCCAAACCTTACGCCTTCACCGCACGACCCTGGGAGACGAGGTAGTGGGCTGTGCTCATGTGGTGTCCTCATTCAAGCTGCGCTTGTACTTTAACTCTTTCACTCTCCTCATGCGTCCACAGGAAGACTGAAACCATTGATGTGTTGGACGCGATGGGCGCCAACATTGTGGTGAGCACCAGGAGTGGCGAGGTCATGAGAATCTTGCCGCGTCTGAACGAGGAGGTCAATGAGGAGTGGATATCTGACAAGACCAGGTGAGTGTTCTTGAACCTCTGCTGTCTCTGCTTAAACAACTCGCTGTTAACGTCTGCGGCACGCTGGCGCAGGTTCGCGTACGATGGGCTGAAGAGGCAGCGGCTGACTCTGCCCATGGTGAAGGATGCTAGTGGACAGCTGGTTCCCTCCTCTTGGGAAGACGTCCTGACGCACGTGGCTGAAGTTGTGAGTAACTGGCTCTGTTTGGCAGGATGCTTTCCGGTGTGCCATGGATTTCAGTGATTGTGATTGGTGCTTTCAGCTTCAGAATATTAACGGCTCTGAGATAGGAGCCATCGCTGGAGGGATGGTGGACGCTGAAGCTCTGGTGGCTCTGAAGGACCTTCTGAACAGACTGGACAGCGAGACCCTCTGCACCGAGGAGGTGTTCCCAATGGCTGGCGCAGGGTGAGACCTCTTTTTATCCAACTACAACTGTGGCAGTCGTAGCCTTGTGGATAGGGTGATTGACTGGAGATGAAAAGGTCGCCAGTTCAATCCCTAGCTCCACTGGGAGTCGCAGGTGGGATTGGTGTTGAAACTCTCTCCCTTCTGTGACAACCATTACTGTGGTGGACTTGAGAAAGTCAGCAGTTTCCCCACAGCTCCTCGGCTCCCCACAGCTATGGCTGCTCACTGCTCCCGGTGTATGTTGGTCCTAATGTCACTTTTACTTCACTTCAGGATGGAAATGTGATGTCGAAGGAATTTTTAAATCATATGGAGGTCCTGTTATATGGAAAGATTAATTTTCTGACAATTCCTGTATTATTATTATATTATTATTATTATTATTATTATTATTATTATTATTATTAGTAGTAGTAGTAGTAAAAGTATTTTTTTTTGTGAAGGTAGAGTCAGACAGGTTACTAGCTGGGCATGGTTGGAAAGACTACCGGAGTCTACTAAGATCCGGAATCGGACCTGGGTCGCCCATATGTCCATCTTATGCCCCCCGTTACAACAGCAGAGGACAGATTTTTTACCTAAAATTAGTAATAATAATAACGATTCTAAATTTTATAATTGTAAACAGGGTTAGAGATTGTAAAAATTGTGAACAGCTTCCTGACAAAGCACGAGAGAGAAAGAGAGAGTATATAGTATATATAGCCTAGTAACTCATTCATTCAGTCATGTACTGTTGCATGCCTACTGGCCAGTAATCAACAGGATTTTATATCATGCTTTTTATCCACAAGCAGAGAAAAGCATCATCTTGGTCCAGTTCAGCCTGCTTTTACAGGGTCTTAAAAAGTGTAAAATGCAAAAACTCAAATTGTAGGCAAATTCATTAAATGCACTGTTCTAGGTCTTAAATAATCTCTCACATGTTGTAATTTTCCAACACTTCAGGTGGACTGTGCTTGAGACAGATTTGATTGTTTAACAAAGATGGCTGCCATAGCAACCACAAGTAGTCATTTTTGTCATGTAGTTTTAAAATTATGAAAGTTTTTATGTGACAATACACATCTGATAATGTCATTGAAATCACAAAAAATTCTCAACTTTTACATGACAAAGGCTCCATTGTTAGTCACATGATCGTAACGTTGCACAATGGATTTGCTCACGAGACGAACCTCTTTATAATGGCAAAATTCCATTGTTTCGGGTTAGATTTCATGTCATAAGTGAATGTGGATGCAGGTCTGAATATGTTGGAAATTAGACAAATAATTTAGACTAGTAACATTAACGATTCACAATATAGTCTCGTGTTTGTTTGTTTTTTTATCATTATCTGTGGAAAAAATGTCGTTTATTTTTTTCATCTTTTCGCAAGTTTCAAGTATTGTTTACATTTTTATAATCTGTAGATGTTATAGTAGTTTGTTACATAAACATTAAAATTTGATTCTTGTTGGTCTTAAAAAGGTCTTAAATTTGACATTGTTGAAGCGCACAGAAACCCTATCTTTAGAAAACTGGTGCAGCCACAGAACACAGACAAGAGGTCTGTGGGGAAGCAGCGTCAGCTTCTTCGAGAGCACTCTATCAACCAGACTCATCATTAATCGGTCACTTACAAATGGAAATAGAAAAGATGGAGATCTTAACGCTTCAAAAAGATTTTTGATGGTTCTTGATTGGCTGTTGACCCTGATGTTAAAAATAAGCGAAAGAATATTAAGGTGTTCTCTTCTCCACAGGACGGACCTGCGCTCCAATTACCTGATGAACAGTCGCATCGCTGGCGTTGAGGAGTGCGACCTTCTGCTTCTCATTGGAACTAATCCTCGCTATGAAGCTCCTCTCCTCAATGCACGAATCCGCAAGAGGTAGAACCATGAAAAGGATGACGTTTGATGCATTTAATGAGTGTCTCTTCACCACGTTTGCTTTCTGACCCCATTCTTCAGTTGGTTGCATAATGAACTCCAAGTCGCCATGGTGGGTGCTCCGGTGGATCTGAGCTACTCCTACGATCATCTGGGTGAAAGCACTCAAGTGCTGCAGGAGATTGCTGCTGGGACTCATCCCTTCTGTCAGGTAACATAAACCTCTCCATCTCCAACATTCTGCCAGATGTTCACGTGTTTTAGCCACTCGAGAGGGCTGGGACTGATTCTGAGCAGAACATCTGCAATTACGTCTCAAATGGTGCTTTTTGTGTTGCAGGCCCTGGGCCAAGCCAAAAAGCCTGTCGTACTGGTGGGCAGCTCCGCACTCCAGAGAGAAGATGGGGCGGCCATCCTGAAGGCTGTGTCCACCATTGCTCAGAATGCACGGGTCAGCAGTGGGGTTGAGGAGGGCTGGAAGGTCCTCAATGTCCTGCACAGGTCCGTCACTGTGATTAGTGTGAGGTCATCAGTGTGAGCTCTCCTCTCTGTCTTAACTCGACCATGTACCCGTGTGATCCCAGGGTGGCCAGTCAGGTGGCTGCGCTTGACCTGGGTTACAAGCCCGGCGTTGATGCCATCCGCAAGAACCCTCCCAAAGTCCTGTTTCTCCTTGGAGCAGATGCTGGTTGCATCACCAGAGCGGACCTGCCCAAAGACAGCTTTATCATCTACCAGGGTCAGTAAGCACCCTTACATGTGCATGTTTGGAAAGGATCTAATCTTTGGGGATTAATAGCTTCAAATTGTTGTCTAGGCCACCATGGAGATGTGGGTGCACCCATCGCTGATGTCATTCTGCCTGGGGCGGCTTATACTGAAAAGTGTGGCACATACGTGAACACAGAGGGTCGTACCCAGCAGACCAGGGTGGCAGTCACTCCTCCGGGTATGGCACGCGAGGACTGGAAGATTATCCGAGCCATTTCTGAGGTACAGTCTTTGGTGTAAAGCAGTTCTGTGCTCTGTGGGTGAGGGCGTGTTAGAGCTGGCAGGTCAAGAGATTGTTACTGACGTGACATTGCCGTTGTGAGAGTTTTCTGGTGTGCTACCAACTAAAGGGTTCAGCTACGGCTCTGTTTTGACACAAAAGAGTTTCTTTAAGGAACTGATTAGGAACCGATTCAAAAATGTGAATCTGGAGCTCAAAGTTACTTTGTAACACAAGTGTTTTTGCCTCATTATTATTCCAAGTTTTCAGAGATTGAAAAATAATCCTGAGATGAAATAAAATCGGACTGATTTCTGTTTTATTTGTTTGATCTCAGGTGCACAGGAGGCTATATCATTAGGGGTGGGGTCAACAAAACGCCAGAGATGGATGTTCTTACATTTTACAAGACAAAGCGTAATTATATAGACAATTATTCGGATGTAACAGTATCTCGTGATGCACAAATGTTAGAATCGTGGAGTTACTGGGATAAATGGTCTAGGAGGTGAGGAGGTTCACTTTCTGGAGTGATGGTGCTTTTAGTCACTTCTGAAACTTCTTTACACTGTCTTTGTTGTATTTGATGACTACTAGGAGACAATTCACAGACTCTCGCCCTTTTTACAGGGAAACATTGTAAAACGAAATCTCTCCATCAATCAGTACAAAGTACTGAAGTTTTAATGCAAACATTAGCGCTGCCCCCTAGTGAGTGGATGATGCATGCTAAAATCAAACCAGACGTTAGCGGCCTTAGATTTTTATTCTAAAAACTGCTGGAATTCAGTTTTGTTTTCCAATGATGGGTTAGATATAAAACATATTTAATCATTTGTTAAAAAACAGATCTGTTCAGCTGCCTTTTATTATTGTTAAAAACAGTCGTACATATTCACAACCAGTTATCATCGTCCTTCATTCCCAGTATCACTCAGCTTTTCACACTCTAGAGCCTGTGAGGATGATTTCAGGAGGAAATATGTTAAACTTTTAATTACTGTTGATTGACATTGTGACTAACCAGTAACCAATAAGAATTTAGCTTTTGAAGAGAAACAAAAATTGCTAAAGGCAATCAGACTTTATCCCCCCCCCCCTGCGATCGATAATGGTATATTCTACCTGCAATCAAACAAATAAAACCAAAATCTGATTTTATTTGATCACAGGTTGCCGTCGCAGATAAGTGATCAAAATCATTGTTATTTTTGTTTATAAAGGGGTGTGAAAAACTATTTGCCCCCTTCCTGACTTTTTATTCTTTTGCATGTTTGTCACACAAAATGTTTCTGAACACCAAATGAGCAATGAGCACAAATCTGAACATTGCTAGCTGCTAGGACGAGGGCACGGCCTTCACCAGCGGGTTCAGGAATCGTGTGAAAAATGGTTTTCCCATTGGACATGCTCCGGACATCACCGTCACCAACGGTGGCTGCCATTCTTGTTTTGTAAACTTTTTTGAGGTCTACACTAAGTAAATGTAGCATCTAGACAACATAAAAATTGTGAGATAACTAGAAGCACCATGCTTTCAGGATGCGCTCTTGCTTCAGCTCTAGGGCTCCAGGACTCCGTTCTGAAAGTCTGGATCGATGTAGAACTGAAAGAGTTGCTCGTCATCATGTTTACCCCAGTAACACTACGGCATTTCTGTATGGCATGGCTCCTCTCTAGCAGACTCTGAGGTTTTTGTGTCTGTGCTCAGCTGGCAAGAATTACACTGCCATACGATACTCAGGATGAGGTCAGAAGACGACTTGAAGAGGTCTCTCCAAACCTGGTGAGGTACGATGATGTGGAGGAAGCCAACTATTTCAAACAGGCGATTGAACTTTCAAAGGTTGGTGTTTTTATTTCATTCCGAGTTTAAATGTAGCTTTTGCTGAATTTGCCCCCTGCTCTCCTCAGGCTGTGGACCAGTCTTTGCTTGAAGCTCCCCTCATCCCTCCACAGCTCACCGTGAAGGATTTCTACATGACGGGTAGAAATGTTGATTTACACATTGAAGTTGCATTCTTGCCTGACGTTAACGTTTCTTTCCTTGATGTCTTCTTCTACAGACTCCATCAGCAGAGCCTCTCAGACGATGGCTAAGTGTGTGAAGGCTGTGACGGAGGGAGCGGCAGCAGTCGACGAACCTTCAATTTGTTAAAAAAAAATAAAAAATCAAGAGGAAGCCTGTATATCCTTACTCACATGGAAAGTAGTTTCTGTCAAGTTTGTGTTCAAA